TTTGCCCACACCGATTTGATTTCCCACGCTGAAAATGTTGTTTTGTTTCCGGTGCGTGTTGAGCGCAAGGTAATCCAGGCCGCCGTAGGTCAATCGGTATCCGTCGTACTTGGCATTCTTGACTTTTGCAATGAGGCCGACCTTGGCCAGGTTTGAGATGGATTTGTGGACGCCGCTACCACCGCGTAGGCCGGAAATGTTGGCAATCAACGGGGTGGGAACGATTTCGTGGTTTTTGCTACCCATTTCCACCTGCGCACTCATCAGTCGTTAGTGGGGGTTGTTGGAGGGGATTTTGCAACATACAGCAGTGAGGACTCTCCAGTCCTCTGCCGTGAGGTAGCGCATAGCCTTGGTATTGAGCTTCATGGCGATTGGATTTGGTGGTGAATATTTGGTGTCCGTCGCGTCCGGGTTGCATCACTTTGGCCGGAGAGGATAATCCTCGGGCGGATCAGTCTCGAGCTAGCGCAGCCATGACGGGAGCTTCACGCCGCCGACGGACGCGCCTCAGCATCCAAACACCTTCATTCAACCCACCCTCCACAACCACCATCCGCCATCGGGTTTCGAGCTGTCTTGACCCTCGGACACTTCCAACTCTCTCCGACACCGACTTTCGCCGCCGCTCACTAATCCGCCACCATGGCGAAAGAGGACGAGAAGCCCACCACCGTCGACAAGGGCAAGGGAAAGGCCGTGGACGAAAAGCCCAAGGAGCCGAAGAAGGACAAGGACGGCAACATAATCAAGGAAGATGAGAAGCTGGATTTGCCGCCTGGTTGGTGCCCCGATGGATTGCGAGGACGCCGCTGACAAAAGCAGAGGAGCTGAGTGAGGAGGACCAACAGCTCAAGAGTGAACTCGACATGCTGGTTGAGCGGATACAGGTGTGTTGGCCATGGGTGGTCCGCGACAGCTACTGACTTGATTAGGAATCCAACACCAGCCTGTACAAGCCCGCGCTCGAAGCTATCAAGAACTTTATCAAGACGTCGACATCTTCCATGACGGCAGTTCCAAAGCCCCTCAAGTTTCTTCGCCCACACTACGAGTCACTCGAAAAGACTTATGAATCATGGCCGGAAGGTGATGACAAGGTATGAATGCGCGAGACGGTAGTTGGCATGTATTGACGGCTATAGGCATCATTTGCGGACGTCATGTCGGTTCTCGGAATGACGTCGTCGGACGAGACTCGCCGCGATACCCTGAAATACCGCCTGTTGGCGCCATCCAACGATCTCGGTTCTTGGGGTCACGAATACATGCGCCATCTCGGTCTCGAGATTGGCCAGGAATTCCAAGAGAGATTGAACGAGGACAAGCCGTCGGATGACTTGATTGAGCTCGCGCTCAACCTCGTTCCCTTCTTCCTCAAGCACAATGCCGAGGCCGACGCCGTCGACATTCTCAGCGAGCTCGAAATGATCGAGTCGATTCAGCAATACCTGGACCAAGACACGTTCTCTCGAGTCGCGCTCTACATTGTCAGGTATGTTGCAACAACCACCATCTTTCTTTGCTAACAAAATCAGCATGGTTCCCCTTCTTCCTTACCCCGACAACGACCGCTTCCTCCGCACCGCCTACAAGATTTACCGCCAATACAACCGATACACGCAGGCCGTCGTGATTGCCATTCGCCTGCACGACAAGGAGCTGATTCAGGATGTCTTCAACGCCACCGACGACAGGTCGATCAAGAAACAAATGGCATTTTTGATTGCTCGTCAAAGGATCGTGATTGACTTGCCAGAGGGTGAGGAAGATGGAGAGCTGGCCGAGTGTCTCAACAACACGAACCTGTCGGACTACTTCAAGGTGCTTGCCAAGGAGCTCAACATTTTGGACCCCAAGACTACCGACGACATTTACAAGACGCACCTCGAGAGCTCCCGGACAGCAGGCTTGACCAACACCGACTCGGCAAGGCACAACCTCGCCAGCGCGTTTGTCAATGCGTTTGTCAACGCTGGATTCGGCAATGATAAGATGATGCTGGTCGAAGAAGACAAGCACAGCTGGGTGTGGAAGACCAAGGACGAGGGCATGTTGTCAACGGCAGCCTCGTTGGGTTTGTTGATGCTCTGGGATACCGAAGGCGGCTTGGATAAGATTGACCGTTACACCTACCTCGACGAGGACCAAATCAAGGCCGGAGCCATGCTTGCGGGTGGCATCGTCAACTCTGGCGTCAGGAGCGACGCTGACCCTGCCATGGCTTTGCTGGGAGACCAAGACAACCTGGAAGCCAAGAGCGTGCCCATCCGAGTAGCATCCATCATGGGTCTTGGTCTGGCGTACGCGGGATCTAACAAGGAGGAACTTCTCGAAATTCTCCTGCCCATCGTCTCCGACACGTCCCTCGACATGCAGCTCTCCGCCATGGCCGCCCTGTCACTCGGAATGATTTTTGTCGGCTCGGCGCAGAGCGACGTCAGCGAGGCAATCATCCAAACATTCCTCGACGAGGACCGCACGAAGCAGCTCAAGGACAAGTGGACGAGGTTTATGGCTCTTGGGCTTGCGCTCCTCTTTTTCGGCCAGCAAGAAGAGGTCGACGTCATCCTGGAGACTCTCAAGGCCATCGACCACCCCATGTCCAAGCCCACATCGGTCCTCGCCGAGGTTTGCGCGTGGGCCGGCACCGGCGCTGTGCTCAAGATTCAGCAGCTGCTGCACATTTGCAACGAGCACATTGAAGACGAGAACGACGAAAAGAAGGGCGACGAGCTTCTCCAGGCCTACGCCGTCATTGGCATCAGCTTGGTGGCCATGGGAGAAGAGGTTGGCCAGGACATGGTCATCCGCAACTTTGGCCATTTGATGCACTACGGCGAGGCCAACATCCGGAAAGCAGTCCCCTTGGCCATGGGTCTCCTCAGTCCCAGCAACCCCCAGATGAAGGTCTACGACACACTGTCGCGGTACAGCCACGACAATGACAATGAGGTGGCCATCAACGCAATCTTCGCCATGGGTCTGCTGGGCGCCGGTACGAACAATGCCCGTCTTGCACAGCTGCTGCGCCAACTCGCCTCGTACTACTCGCGAGACCCCAATGCGCTCTTCATGGTGCGCATCGCCCAGGGTCTGCTGCACATGGGCAAGGGCACGTTGGCGGTCAATCCCTTCCACACTGACCGCCAGGTCCTTTCCCGCGTCGCCGCAGCGGGTCTCCTGACGGTGTTGGTGTCGCTGATTGACGCAAAGCAATTCATTCTTGCCGAAAGCCATTACCTACTCTATTTCATGGTGTCGGCCATGCAGCCCCGCTTCCTCATCACCCTCGACGAAGAGCTGAAGCCGCTCATGGTCAACGTGCGGGTGGGTCAGGCGGTGGATGTGGTGGGCCAGGCTGGTCGGCCAAAGACGATTACTGGCTGGCAGACGCAGAGCACGCCAGTGTTGCTGGCGTATGGCGAGCGTGCGGAGCTCGAGGACGAGCAGTACATTAGCTTGGGCAGCACCCTGGAGGGCATAGTGATTCTGCGCAAGGCAAGTTTCCCATCCCCAAGCAAGACGTCGACTAACATTTTTAGAATCCGGAATGGGAGGAGAAGTAGTCAAAACTAGAGGTAGCATTGCGGGATAAATAGAGCATTCCAATGATATTGATGTGTCAGCAAGTTTGCAGGGTTTGTCAGTTTTGATAAGCAGTGATGACGAAAGCGGGGCGCGGGGTATACCCTCGACATGTCTGCTCTTCCACGGCTCCGTCTTGTTGCTCGACAGTTTTCCAGTGCAAATCGATTGAACATGGCTGTGAGGTCTTTGATCCTTCTCCCAGCGTCAGCTAACGAATCAGGCCAAAAACATTCTCAATTGGGTGGATCCTAATGACAAGTCGGGCGAGTTTAAACGCCAGACTTCCGTCTTTCGCAGCTTCATCTCGGCCGCCCCAGGAGCAGAATTTCCGCCTGAGAAGGGGAGGTATCACTTATACGTCAGCTATGCGTGTCCGTGGGCGCATCGGACGCTCATTGTGCGCAAGCTCAAGGGATTGGAGGACATAATCGGGTACACCAGCGTACACTGGCACATGGGCGAAAAGGGTACGTCCCATCTGTGAAGCAAGGCCAAGCTGACAAGACAGGATGGCGCTTTGCAACGGCGGAAGAGCAAAAGGAGGGCCTGCCAGGCGACAACGTCACCGCGGACCCGCACCACCCGTCCTTCACGCACATCCGCGACATCTACTTCTCGCAGGACCCCAACTACGGCGGCCGCTTCACGGTGCCCACGCTGTACGACACGGTGGCCAAGCGCATCGTGTCCAACGAGAGCAGCGAGATCATCCGCATGCTGTACACCGAGTTCGACGCGCTGCTGCCGGCCGAGTATCGCGCGCCCGCCGTCGACCTGTTCCCGGAGGCGCTGCGCAGCGGCGTTGACGAAGCCAACGCCTGGATGTACGACGACATCAACAACGGCGTCTACAAGTCCGGCTTCGCGACGACGCAGGCGGCGTACGAGGCCGCCGTCACCAAGCTCTTTGCCGCGCTCGACCGCGCAGAGGCGCATCTCGCGTCCACCAAGGCGCCGTTTTACCTCGGCGACTGCCTGACCGAGGTCGATGTGCGCCTCTACACGACCATTGTCCGCTTCGACCCTGTCTACGTCCAGCACTTCAAGTGCAACGTCCGCGACATTCGCAGCGGCTATCCCTACTTGCATGCGTGGTTGCGCCGCTTGTATTGGCAGAATGAGGCGTTTGGGCCGGCGACGACGCAGTTTGAGCATATTAAGCGCCACTACACGCAGAGCCACGCGCAGATTAATCCCAAGGGAATCACGCCGGTGGGCCCGCTGCCGAACATTCTGCCCTTGGAGGAGGAGGTGCCGGCCGTTCAGAAGTTGTGATAGTATGAATGTATATGTATTCTTTCGCCAGAGCTGGCTCGAGTGATGTGAAGCTGGCAAAACGAAAGGTTGGGTGAGGCTAGGAGGATTGCTAAGGTGAAGCGAGGGAGCAAAAAGAAAAGGCAAAAGAAACTTGCGTCGGCCGAGACTCGAACTCGGATCTCAAGCTAATCTACTAAGGAGTGGAAGGCTTGAATGATAACCCCTACACTACCGACGCTTGATGAAAGAAGGGCAAGCCTTTGTGTTTATTTACTGTTTGGTTGCATCCCAGCTGGGATTTACCTTCGCCTGACTCGATCCACGACGACGACCTCACCTCACTTCCTCGACCGCCTCGACGTTCCCTCTTGCGCGAATTTTTCTCTGCTATAAAGCTGGAACTAACTTTGCGATCGATCATGATAAAATCTGGTCGGAAATCGCGTTCGACCTGCGCAAAAACTTGCCATTTTGCACCATGTTTGTATCGTGCATCTTTCTGCAACCAAAGTCAAAACAACTGTGACAGGAAAACGATGGAACAACCAGGCGACTTGCCTTCCCCCCTTCTCGCCCTCTCTGCAATACACTTGGTGATCTGCAACGACTTTGCGCCTAGCTTTCTCCTTTCTTCCCAGTAGGCTTTGCCGAATGATGTGTTTTCGGTTCACTCATCCATCCGTTGAGGGCAAACAAGGCCTCGTTGGCCCAGGTTAGCGAGCACAACCAACTTCCAATGCCTCGCCGCCGCTCTCTCATCATCTCATCATCGGCAAGCATCCCCTCCACAGTCTCCTTCCCTCCAAAGTCCTCTGTTTCTTCAAAATCAGCTCTTCCACAGCGGGTGCGTGGCCCGCGGACCATGGGAGCGCCTCAACAAGTACCAAAAAGCAAACCAGTGCTCGCATGACTGCGCCGCCCTTTCTGCGCCTAACCACGACACCGCGCCAACGTTGACAAATGGTTGAGCCCCGCACTGTACAAAATGCTTTCTTTTCATCACCCGGTCCAGAGGCCAGCCGAAGCCGACCATTTGTGGGTACTCTTTCTAAGAGCGTAAAAGTCGTAACAGGGCGTGGTCCGATGATGAGATTCAAAAAAGCTGATTTGTCGCTTCCGGCGCTGCGTTTCGGTCGTCTTTGGGACTCTATACCTAGTCGTTTGCGCTCTGCGCGGCGGACGGGGTGCGAGTAACGAGCGCCTGCGTGGCCCGGCTTCATGTTGCTCTGAGGCCCGAGGAGGTTTGGCTCTGGCGGAATGTTTTGTCTTTTTGCGTGGGAGCAGCTTTTCTTTTGCTTTTCTCAGTTTCTTGACTTTCATTTCGAGGCGATACTTGTCACTCTGCGATTTGCCGAATATCACGACAACAGAGAATATTGGGGGAGCGCTGCGACGGTGTTGAAAGGCAGGGTTCATTGGTTGATGTACATCCGAAATACAACGTTTTGCAAAACTTTGAATCCGACGAACCATATGACAACAAGTGACGACCAAACGCCATGCCAACCCGAAGTATGAGAAGAGAAACTAACAACCCCAACCACTGTGTCCTAACCCCTGTGTCCCAAAACCGTTATCGTACCGTAACATCGAGCGCAACGGCCGGAATAGGGCGCCATCGAGGAGACATTGTTGGGATCCAAGGAGCACCTGTGAAAAGTACAAAAGATTGGGGGTCAGCAAAGCTGACCATTTATGGGTACTCTCCCTACAGATAGCAACGAGTTGTATTTTTCCTCCCCGACCGCAGTCTCAGATATTAATGATCGTCTTCATTGAGAGAGCACCCACCTTGAAGGCAACCAAGGCCGATGATGAGAGTCGAACAAAAGAAAAAGCTGAATCTGTCGCTTCCGGCGCCGCGTCTCGGGTCGTCTTTGGGACTCTGCTCGATGAGTGGAGTAACGAGCGCCTTGCGCGGCCCGGCACTGATGATGCTCTGAGGCCTGGGGCAGTCCGAGTGGGAAGACAAAGATGGGAAAACGAGTTGATGAAAAGATGAGACAGGGGAGATCGAGGTAAGTTATATCCTTCACTTGCTACAGATGGCTCTTGCTTTGCCATGGGCTTGTTTACGCTTGATCAGGCCACGGGCGAGGCGGACCAGCACGACAGAAACGACGAAGGGGCTCCAGAAGGAACAACTATCGGTGCAGGGAGCGACCGCACCGAGTCGATTCGGAATTGAGAATGCGCTGTGGACCAAGCGACCCGCAGGTTACTACACGAAGAAGTTACAGTTTGCTGGCATCGAGACGGACGTCGACGGACATCGACGGACATCGACGGACATCGACGACTTGTACCAACAGCCACCACACAGCAGGAACAGATTTCATATAAGAGCAGGAGACACGCAACGCAGCGAGGGAGAGATACTGGGCTCGGCTGAAAGTACGCATTTCATTGCAGAGGAAGGAGAATATCGACGTCAACACTTGCCGCAATCGACATGAACCGAGCTTTCCCACGGCTACATAGTTCACAGCGGCTTCGCGAGAAGAAATGAAACCACACTGTTGACACGGAGTAGCAAAGAATCGCTCAAATGCTCAAAAAAACACTCCACCTGCTTAACCCCTGAGAAACCGCAGCAGAAGCGACCGGGAGTGAGCGCATAGCGGAGGACGAAGTACAAGCCCGGGCGCTACCTTCCAAAAAGCACACGGCAAAGTCCCCAATCAGAATATCAAGGGCAGCCATGACAGCGACAGCAACTCTCCGGGAGACCGCGCCCGCTGCAAGCAGCAGCGTCGATGCTCACCACGAGGGACTCCGACATCCGCCCCTGACGCCGCAAAATGGCCTCGTGCGTTTCGGTCTCTTCATCCAAGCAAGGGAGGCTCGAACACGCCTGCTCGACCGAATTGCGCTCGCAATCAAACTCGTCATCCCCTTCCTCGCCATGTGCGTTGCTGGAATGGACTGCGCGGCGGAAAGCCGTCGTCTCAAAACATCGCAATGGACGCATCAGTTTTCGCAGGTGTCACAAGCAGATTTTTTGGGAAAAGCTAGTGATGCCAGAGAGATTTGGTTTTGCTATGCTACAGCGTACATGCTACAGGGTGGCGATGATTGGTGGTGTGAAGAAACGACGAGCTGACTGTCTGACTGGCTGGCTGATGGCGCACTGACTACCGTAGTATTACATGGATATCTCGAAGCAAGTGTGGAGTCGACCGCGGAAAACGGCGAGCAGAAGCAGAAGAATGAGAAGGAAGGGAAATACAGGAGGAGAGACAGGGTGAAAGCGACCCGGCAATTTAGTCACCTACAATGCACATCGCGCGTGCGTTCAGGGGGCCCAGGAAAGGCAGTGCAGTCGGAGCAGCACATCACCCCCTGGCCTCCTTCTCTTTGCTGACTTCGAACTCGCAGTCTCGCTCACTGCCGCCCAAGGTGACTGAATCACGTCCAAGAGCCAGACTCTTGACCGAGATGTTGGTGCCTGCGCCCTTGACGGCCTGCACCTCGAAGCCCTCATCCACGGGCTCGGGCTCCCGCATCTCCGTCTCCGTCTTCTTTTCATCCCATCCGACTTCCTCCCTTTCAATTGGATGCGCTTCTTTCCAACTCGCGCGTAGCCCGGCGCTCCAACGCCAGCGCCTCGCCGTGCCTCGCGCCCGGTCCAGACGCGACACCTCGGCGCCATCGCGAGCCTGCGATCTCCCCAGATCCGGTGCCGACGCGCTGGTGACGCCGCGTTTGCTGCTGCACAGCTCGCGCGCTGGGCTCCGCGGCGGGACGGGCGGCTTTTGCGTTTCTGTTGGCTGTGGGAGCAGTTGCAGGGGTGCAAACGAGAAGAGGGGCGGGATGAAGGGGGCCGAGGTCTCCCGCGTAAACGTCGTCTTGTTCCTGATGGTGGGAGTTGCGCTGGCCGAGGAGGAAAAGTCGTCGGTGGTAGCGACGACGGTGCGAGGGGAAGAGGGGGCTGAGGCTGATGTGTAGCCAGAGGGAGACGAGGCAAATGTTGTTGGGAGGGGAGGGATGGTCGGTTTGGGGAGGGTTTCGATGGCGGCCTTTTGGCGGAGGAAAGCCTCTCTGCGAATGTGTAAGTGCTGGTCGATACGTTTGATGGGAGACTTACTGCTCTGGTGTCAGGCCTTCAAGTTTGACGTCTAGTCGTCGAAAGTCGGTTGGCGATTGCTGCGATCATTAGCTTTGATCGTCGACAAGATGTGCAACTTACAATCTCCAACCCCCTTTTCCGTGGTTGGTAACAAGGAAAGATGTTGGCGGCCACCCCCTTGATATCGGCCAACCTGTCAAGCATCCACTGAGGAGCCATGATGATGATGAAGCGTCTAAGACCAGCTATGACGTAAAAAGACAAACCATATGAGAAAACACGCTCGCTCAAGGACAATCAAAAACGACAAAAATGTTTGTTGGTTGAGATGGGAGCCGGTGGCCGGTGGCTTGATGGAGAGACGAAACAGGACAGGCTTGCTCGAGACATATAAACGGCCGAGCCTGAGATTACCAGATTCCCAAACCACACCAGTTCAGCGAGTTGCCACGCGAAAGGCCCATCCATTCCTTGCGTTTTACCCACTCTGGGCATTCTTTGGTTTTGAGGAATAAAGAAAGCGGCCTGCGTGCAATCACAGCCTCGGAAATGTTGGAATGGCCGTCAGAACTATCGAGCGGTAATGTCTCATCCAAGTGTCGGCTGCTGGACTGAAAACCTTGCCTGTACGCACTCCACACGACTTTAATGCGCACGTCTTGTGATGTTTTTGGTTGCTCTGGGCCACACGAGAGTTGCGAGCGAGTTGGCGTGTGCCACCGTTCCTTGCAGCAGGGGCAGCATTCCAGCTTCGACACGCGCATTTTGAACGCGTTGCTCACTCATCTCTTATCACTTGGCGCGGCGCTTACCGCAAAAATCGGGTCAGGTGAGGACGTGTCGTCGCGTTTCGCAGCACCTTGCTTTGCACAACAGTCTGCGTCACCCGCAGACAAAGAGATTTATTATCTATTTGGGGTAGTCCTTGACGTGGTAGCTCTTGAGCTTGACGAATAGGTCGAATCCAAACTTGCTGAGCGATTGGCCTTTGCCCGAGTCCTTCCATCCGACCCATGCAAGGTCCTGTACGAGTCAGCGATTTGAGTCGGTGAAACACGAGAATACTTACCGGACTGGGGTAGTCACAACGGTTGACAAAGACGGTGCCAGACTCGACCTCGTCGGCCAGCGCATGTCCCTTTTCGACGTCCTTGGTCCAGATGCTGGCC